CTGGTTTAGTCCTGGTTTTAGTCCTGGTTTAGATCTAGTTAGACCTGGTTTTTAGTCCTGGTTTAGACCTGGTTTAGTCCTGGTTTAGTTTTTAGTCCTGGTTTAGACCTGGTTTAGATCTAGTTTAGACCTGGTTTTAGTCCTGGTTTAGACCTGGTTTAGACCTGGTTTAGTCCTGGTTTAGTCCTGTTTAGACCTGGTTTCCTGGTTTACCTGGTTTAGACCTGGTTTAGTCCTGGTTTAGTCCTGGTTTAGACCTGGTTTAGTCCTGGTTTAGTCCTGGTTTTAGACCTGGTTTAGACCTGGTTTAGTCCTGGTTTAGTCCTGGTTTAGACCTGGTTTTAGTCCTGGTTTACCTGGTTTAGACCTGGTTTAGTCCTGGTTTAGTCCTGGTTTAGACCTGGTTTATAGTCCTGGTTTAGACCTGTTTTAGACCTGGTTTAGTCCTGGTTTAGTCCTGGTTTAGACCTGGTTTAGTCCTGGTTTAGTCCTGGTTTAGACCTGGTTTAGTCCTGGTTAGACCTGGTTTAGATCTAGTTTAGACCTGGTTTAGATCTAGTTTAGACCTGGGGATATAGCCCAAAATGTGAAAACAGCAAAATACCTCTGTGTAATCTATTTATTTCAACAAAGTAACTGTAATCCAATTACCACTCACTGAAACAGTAACTGTAACTGAATACAGTTACTCATAATTTGTACTCTGATTACGTAACTCCAGTACATGTAATCTGTTACTCCCCAACACTGTCTACATGTATGTCTATAACTGAATGTCCACCAGTTACCATGGAAACACAATGCACACATTAGCAAATACATCCTAAAAACTTGTTAGATAGTCTGGAAAGCTGGAGCCTGTGACCAATAAGAGCATTCATAGTCTGGTTTAGGAGTTCGATTTTCAACAAAAAGCTGAAAGTGACAAACTGAAAATGTTATTTGGGAGAGACTTGTTTAACAACACAAATCAGATCACCTCTTGCAGCTAAGTCAGTTGTCTTCCTCTCAGATTGTGTGAAAAAAAAAGATCAGATTGAAGTCTAACAAAGATAGAGACAGACTTCACTCTCCCAGGGAATGTTGCAGAGTGTCAATATAAACAGGGTCTGCCACATGCCACACATGCGGACTAAACCAGGATCACTCCCAGGACTGAACCAGGACTAAACCAGGATCACTCCCAGGACTGAACCAGGACTAAACCAGGATCACTCCCAGGACTGAACCAGGACTAAACCAGGACTGAACCAGGACAGAGTGTCATGACGGGCCCGGAGGTGTGCTGTGTAGACTGTTGGGTGACCGCACAAGGTCCGTGGATCAGGGCGTCTCCCTCAGGGGTTCTCCCTCTTGCTCTCAAGTCCAAGATTAGTCCTTGTTTAGACCTGGTTTAGTCCTGGTTTAGTCCTTATTTAGTCCTTGTTTAGACCTGGTTTAGTCCTGGTTTAGATCTTATTTAGTCCTTGTTTAGTCCTAGTTTAGACCTGGTTTAGTCGTGGTTTAGTCCTGGTTTAGTCCTGGTTTAGACCTGGTTTAGTCCTGGTTTAGTCCTGGTTTAGTCCTGGTTTAGTCCTGGTTTAGTCCTGGTTTAGTCCTGGTTTAGACCTGGTTTAGTCGTGGTTTAGTCCTGGTTTAGACATGGTTTAGTACTGGTTTAGTCGTGGTTTAGTCCTGGTTTAGACCTGGTTTAGTCCTGGTTTAGACCTGGTTTAGTCGTGGTTTAGTCCTGGTTTAGTCCTGGTTTAGTCGTGGTTTAGTCCTGGTTTAGACCTGGTTTAGTCCTGGTTTAGTCCTGGTTTAGACCTGGTTTAGTCCTGGTTTAGACCTGGTTTAGACCTGGTTTAGTTGGTTTAGTCCTGGTTTAGTCCTGGTTTAGACCTGGTTTAGTAGTCCTGGTTTAGTCCTGGTTTAGTCCTGGTTTAGTCCTGGTTTAGACCTGGTTTAGTCCTGGTTTAGTCCTGGTTTAGTCCTGGTTTAGTACCTGGTTTAGTCGTGGTTTAGTCCTGGTTTAGTGGTTTACCTGGTTTAGTCCTGGTTTAGTCCTGGTTTAGTCCTGGTTTAGTCCTGGTTTAGACCTGGTTTAGACCTGGTTTAGTCGGTTTAGTCCTGGTTTAGGGTTTACCTGGTTTAGTCCTGGTTTAGACCTGGTTTAGTCCTGGTTTAGTCCTGGTTTAGACATGGTTTAGTTTAGTCTGGTTTAGTCCTGGTTTAGTCTTGGTTTAGTCCTGGTTTAATCCTGGTGACCTACTAATGTTAAGTGATGTTAAAAGTCACCTGCATGAAGTTGGACATTTTTTGCTGTTTCAAAAATCGTTTATGAATGCACATTTATATATATATATATATATATATATATATATATATATATATATATATATATATATATATATATATATGAAAATACAATATTATCAGTTGTTGTTAAACTCATCATTTCCAGGAACATAAAAGATACATTTACGTCTGTGGCGTGTGTGGGGAGGGCAGGTGCACATTCACCCAATTTGAAAACCGCTGGCCTAGAATATTCCACAGCATGTCTTTAATGTTTACTATTTTATACTTTCTTCATCTACATGTGTTTCAAAAACCATTCACTCTTAAACATACATGCATGCAAACTAACATGCATTCAAACAGTGAGCCGAATCTCCTCTCCACAGATCTGACCTGTCACTTGGCCTGGTGACACCATCTGCTTGTCTCCATGGAAACAGACGACTTTAATGCAGCTGTATTGTGAAACTTCGAGGTGGCACTTTGTGACTAGAAACGTTACACAGGAGCCTTTTAATTTCCTTCTCATTTATCCAAGGGTTGACGGTTCAATCCCAGATCCAGTCAGTGGATTCTATATTGTGTCATTGGGCAAGACACTTAAGCTCCCCTCTTTTTAGTGTCAGTTAAAGCTGCTACTGTTATTACTCAGTATTATCAGTAACAAATAAAATAATACGATAATGAACATTCCAGGCAAAGACAACATCTCCACGGTGACAACAGGTGGCAAATCCTCCACCAGAAAAGTTACACAATGCACCTTTAAATAGCCATCACACACTGCTCACATATAATCTCAGGCAAACAGCTATATCCGTGCATTTCCTAAGGCTATACAGAAATGACATGTTTGTATTGATTTAATGCAGACAGTGAATGCAGACGGACTTGACAAAGGTTCCCATGGCGACGGATACAAGTACACTCAAAGCCCTGCTCTTGAAACACTGGAGTATGCAGTAATCAGATAACTATTCAGTCCAACCGCAAAAAATGTATGTGTAGCTTTAATTTGATTTACTCCAATTAATTCATCACATGATTCCATTTCAGGGCGTTTCGTGATGGAGCTGTAAAAGGTTTTCATTTGAGACGATTTACAGGAAAAAGTCTGGTGATAATGGCCACGTTTACATGATGTTTTTTTTTTTTTTTTCCGAATGAATTGTTATGAATGAAATAGTAGGAAAACGCATTAAATCGCTTTTATTTAATTCCACTCAGCGTCTGGGGTTGGGGAAGGTTCTGATTGGACAGAGACACAAACGTATCGGCTTTTCTGTCATCTCAGTTTGTCGTTACACCCTGGACACAAACATGATACAGACTTGTTTCGCAGTCGTTTCAATGATAATGAAGCAGCAGCTGGAGAATTCTCTCATCACGCTTTACGTCTGTCGGCTGAGGAGGAGAAGGGAAGAGTGTCGGAGAAGGGAGGAAGAAAACAAACTGAGACAACGGCTGCTCTACCTCAGCCCACGCCCACATTCCGCTCGCGAATCCAAAGAGACGTGGATGAAAGTCCGAAGCCAGGACTGGTGGAGCCGGATCGTCCAGATCGTGTCAGAAGCCAACGAGCATGCGCTGAACAACCGGAAATATTTTTAAGAAGAATAAATGTTTACATGATCGAGGAATAAATTAATTAGGCTTTAAAATCTGAATAAAGCACCCACTTACTTTGGAATTAAGTGGGTGGTTAAATTGTGGCTATACCAGTTTGTCAAAGCTTGATCCCGTCAGATTTCAGAAGCTCAGCAAGGCCGGTCCTGGTTAGTACTTGGATGGGAAACCACTGGGAAAATCAGATGCCACAGTGGGGTGCCAGTCACAAAAAAAAAAAAAAACACTTCACCCACATTGCCTGGTATGAAAGTGGTGTGTGTGTGAGTGATGGTGGTGGTCAGAGGGACAGATGGCACCAGCTGGCATGGCGGCCGCGCTTCTGTCAGTCTGCCTCAGGGCAGCTGTGGCTACAATAGTATCTTACCATCACCAGGTCTGGAGTGAATGAATCATGAACTGTAAAGTGTCTTTGTGACAAATGTCTGTAGAAAGTGCTGTATAAATAAAAAACTTACTTTAACTCCTCTTTTTAAAGCGGAATAATTTTTTTTTTTTTTTCAGAATTAAATTATTTTTATTCGGAATTAAAGCTCTCATGTAAACACAGCAATTGATGGAAATATTAATGTGTTATATTACACAGAATGGGTTAAGCCACATTAGAATGCTGTTACCTCCTCAAAAACATACTTAGAGTTGTTTTGTTTCATTCACACAAATACTCTGTTCCACCTTGTGATGTCATGAAGTGGTAGTTTTCAAGTTAACAGTGACATTTTGGATTTAGTTCAGTGGCACTTCCAGGGCTGAAATCATCCAAATGATTGTGGTGAAGGTGTTTGGAGTTCAAAAACACAGTAGAGCTCTTCCTGTATTGCCACACGACATCACAAGGTGGAACAGAGCATTTTTAATTTGAGAAAAGGACATAAAATGAATCCAAACGGAGGTGTGTTTGTGTGTTAAACATGTGTGAATGAAACAAAACACAACTCCAGGTCTGTTTTTGATGAAGAAATAACATCATAACAAATCAAATCAGAAAACAGCGTGATAAAGAGGAGCTGTACAGATATTTTTGACACAGATGATTGAATGGATACAGAAGAGAAGTGATCGTTTTAATATAAGCTATGTTTTCTCTTTCCCAGGTGAACCTAAACATGGAGGACGGCCGCTCTCTGGGTCTAATGATCAGGGGAGGGGCAGAGTACGGACTGGGCATCTACATCACCGGAGTGGACCCCGGATCTGCGGCAGATGCAGGGGCCCTCAAGGTAAACCACAACACAACAGTTCAATCAGATCAATATGAGTGTAAAGCCTGCCTCGCCATGTCAGAATATGTCAAACCAGTATGGATTTATCCTGATAACTCAATCCACTATGGCTCAATACAATAAAGCAATTTATAAAACTCAAGGACTTTTCATCCACTCGCAGCATATTGGCTGTTACTACCGTTACGTAAAGCTTACAATGGCCAGTGGTGGAAGAAGTACCGTATTTTTTGGATTATAAAGCGCATCAGATTATAAAGCGCAATATCAGTAATGATGAACTCTCATCTATTTTCATACATAAGGTGCACTGGATTATAAGGTGCGTTGAGCGAAACAAACGGACGACACTTGAGACTGATCTCTTAGCTCAGGTGAATCCATTGGCAGATCGTGGTGTAATTCATCCGCCGTTAGCCTCCCTGTCTTGGTGAAAGTATATTATGAATGTGAATGTGGGTGGATCATTTAACCCTATAAAGCCATTTGTATTATATTTGATACACAACATTCTGAGACCTCTGCTCCACCCACATAATCAATATTTTTCCTGAAAAACCTGTTGTGTACAATTAAATACTTGTCAGCTGAAAGTGGACTTTCCATGGTTGTAAATTACAGGCTCAAAGGAGACATTTTCAAAATGGCCGCATTGGTGGACGTGACTTTCTGTTTTTGGAGGAACAACTTTGTAAATTTTGAAAAGATTAGTGTAAGAATTGCCTAAATTAATTGTTATTATTATTTTTGTGTAATGGTGGAATTTTGATCTTTACATGACTTGTATATAAATGGTGCAATGGTCTGTTTGGAAGTAACTGTCTCTTCAGCTCTCACACACAAAATCACTAATAATCTATATTTTTCTGATTCAGAGGATACAGAGGATTCACTCATTTATTTATTTGTTTACATATATTTATAATAATTTTACACATGTGTACGGTGGGACATGTAATGTACATTTGTGCTTGAACAAGGACCCGTATTGTTTATAAAATAAACATCATCCTGTTCAGACATTTAAAAACATTAAAGGAAATTTTCAGAAAGGTTTTTCTGAGTTCTAAATGCATTAAAGAGAATTCTGTTTGTTCCTAAAATAAACATAGTTGGATTCTATAAAATTGCCATAAAGGCATTTTTTTATTTTTAAAATTGTCATTATTATTATTATTATTTATTTATTTTTTTTTTTATTAATTAATTAATTAATTTTTTTTAACATTTTGTTCAAAGGTCCAATAATGAGTTAAATATTAAAAAAAAATCAGATTTTTTTTGTCAATTATTTCATGTGTCAGGCTTTATAGGGTTAACTAGTCAGTTTCTATCTCCAAAAATATTCTAGCAGATCCCTGATGATTGGAAAGGATTTGATCTTGAACTGACTAAAATTGCGATTAACTTTTGATTTTGAGTGTATTTAGCGTGTCAGTGTTTTATTTTGCAGACAGTCTTCCTTGTGGTGTATTAGCAGGTCATGTTGTTAAACATAACAGATTTGCAGTGTAGATGTAGTTGCAGTGTTGTGGCGCATGAGTTGTTAATGGTTTTGAATGTGTTTTCGGAATAGTTGCTTGGCCTTTAGAATGCTCTCTACTGTACGTAACATTTGAGACTGACCATTATCTGAAGGAGGATCAGAGGAGAATACAGGTGACCTTTGCTTATGTCCACACACTTGAGTTCAGACTGCTGACAGAGAGCGCTCCTCACTGAATCCACAAGATTTATGGGAATATAACAACAATTAAAGGGCCTGTATTACTTTCATATCCATGTTATAATGTTGTTTCCTCATCACAATCATACCTGGAGTTGTGTTTTGATTCCTTTACACATGTTTAACACAAAAATCCCGTGTAATTGGCTCTATTCAACCCAAAACATGCTACACAGGTCTCCAGGAAAAACAACTGACAGCTAAGGTCAGTTAAATACAATCAATCAATGAACCTGCCCATGGACTACAGGCGGAAATGAGCACTGGTGCTACAACCTGGTACAATGCATCTCTCCTGTTAAGGTTTATGTAGATTGTGCGCTGTCCCTGTCTCAATAAATAAATAAATGAATTCACGTTATGTCACAAACTAGGAAGACATTTTGAAACATGTGATGCCAATGTTTGGTGTAGTTACCAACACGGGGCTCGCCGACCATCCATCCATTTTCTTCCTCTTATCCAGGGCAGGGTCACAGGGGGAGGCAGTCTAACGGGGCTGTCACACCTTGACGATTTAGCCAGTGTGTGCCGACGTATGAAAAATTTGGCAAATACGCTGGCGTACGTCGGTTAAGTTCTAGGTAAGTATTGTATAAGTTATGAGCACGCTGAAACACGCTGGCATATGGCGACGTACGGCAAGGTCGTCAAAAAAATTTGAGCATGCTGAAAATTTCTCGACATATATCAGCGTATGTTTATACGTCCTGCATACGCGGGCCATAAGTTGTAGGTAAGTTATGCGATCATTGACACACATTAATTGTAAGTTTCTCATAAGTCCAAATACGTTGAGATAATGTCTAGCGTACACATAACTTATGAGTAACGTGTTTTGAACCTATGTGTAACTTATATTGAACTTATCTCCAACGCATATTGATGTATGAAGACGTATTTGACATGTTCCAGACGACCGCAGAACTTACTGAACGTGTTTCTAACTTGTAGCTACCATATAATGGTGTATTGGCAGCTTTTAGGGGAATCGGTATAAAAATGGGGAGGAAACAGTCAGTACTCCTCCAGACTTTGTGCTCCCATATATCATATGAGCCAATGCAAAACACTTGATCAGAGAATACTGATCATACTGGCAACACGCTAAGCATTCGTTGGTATAAGTTATCTATAAGTTATGAAAATGTTCTATATAAGTTACTAATACGTTATGTATACGTCCAACTCGTTATGAATACACTATGTATATGCCCAAAATTGAAAAAAAAAACATTGATGGTTCAGCGTATGCCAGCGTTTTAGGGAACTGGTACGCAAGGGGAGTCAGCGTTTCAGGTTCATGCAGCTAAAACCTGGAACAGTCTGAACATGTGAGACAGACTCTTCTGTGACGCTGTTTAAATCCAGGCTCAAAACATTTCTGTTTAACTGTGCATATAACTGAAAGGTTTTCATTCCGCACTCTTCTCTCCAATTTATGTCTCTCTTTTTTAATTTTAATCTTCATGATTATTTATGTTTTGATTTGTTTTTATTATGATTTTAATGTATTTCTTATTCTGTAAAGCACTTTGAATTACTTTGTGTACGAATTGTGCTGTACAAATAAACTTGCCTTGCCTTGCCTTACGCTGACATTCGCTGGCTAAATCGTCAAGGTGTGACAGGGCCTTAAGCAAGGACTCCCAGGCTTCCTTCACCCCAGACACTTCCTCCACCTCCTCCAGGGTGACCCCAAGGTGTTCCCAGACCAGCCCAGAGACATAGTCCCTCTCGTGTGCCCAAGGTCTTCCCCGGGGCCTCTTTTCAGTGGGACATGCCCAGAACACCTCCCGTTTGGAATCATCTTGAATTTGGTGCCTCGTCTCTTCTAATCGCATGTACCCAGTGAGGTCGGAAGTTTTGTATCAGTGGGGAAATGATGAAAACTCAGGTACGGTTTTAATTGTTGATTAGCCAAACGTAACTGAACATTACAATGGCATGGAGATGAAGAAAATTGGGACATTTTCTAATTTTTCCTAGATTTTGTCAGACTTACTACTGCTACAGAGTTCTCCGGAATTTGTCATCGCATCTTTCCAAACGTCCTCCTGGTTTGTGACTTAAGAGTAAATAAAGCCTGTTAGTCGATGTTCTCTGGAGCTAAAAACACTTGTGATATTACATGGTACACAGGAAGTGCGCCATACACCTTCACTAGAATCATTTGGATGGTTTCAGACCTGGAACTGACAAACCTGAATCCTGTCAACACTGAACAAAAGGTAAAAATTTGCTGTTAACTTGAAAACATCAAGTTCAGCTCCAGTCAAATGAAGCTCATGATGCCAGGAGTTATATCGGCAAATTTGGAGCCAAGTCCATATTAGGAAAATGGCAAAATACACAACAAAAACACCAGAATTATGGAGAGCGGGTCAATACACTGCTAACTCATGTGACTGCTGTGACCCTGAATAAAAAACAGGACAAGTAGAAAGAAACTTGTCAAGACTTTGCTTCATTTTTTTAATCTAAATGTACAGTGGAAGGTAGGACACACGCTCGGAGATGTGGGCCATCCATCACGCTGGTTCTATTAATCATCCGAAATCATATTAATCATGAATGGTAATGCAAGAACGCGCTGTAGCAGAGTCCTGTCTGGTTCACTCACTCCGACAGAAGAAGAAGAAGAGGAGGAGAAAGAGGAGGAAGAAGATTAATGGTGACAAATGACACTGAGTAACACCACGTTTAGATTGTTATTTCATTTAGAACAATGGTCTGCTCTAACAACTGTGTGTGTTCCAAAATAAATAAGACAAATGAGCTGGTTTTGTTTTTATTGTTTATTTTTTATTCTATAAGATTGAGTTTCCACGTGCTAATTGTCAGTCATTATTACACCACTTTAGATTGTGACATGCTGACATTGTGTTTTTGGGCAAGACTGTTAATCACCCGCTGAGACTATTTGGTGTAGACTGATTGATTTTTTTGTGTCATTCACGGTTGTTTCATTAATCTAAATTCATCTTCTCTTAGTGATTGGACACATTAGAAAAGGTGAAATGTTAATCACAAGGTGACCAAAAGCAGGTTTAAAAGGGAATCAAAGACACAAGCATAATGAGCGTGTGTAATGTGTTCTTTAAAACAAACTAATATTACACAATCCATGTATCATTCGTTCATCCGTTTTTCAATATAAAAACAAAAATAAGAAAACGAAAAAACAACTGTTTTCTTTGTTATTTGTCTCCAAAACCAAAATGAAAAAATGGATAACGATTCGTTTTTTCAGTTTTCGATTTTGTGTTTA